TTGCCAAAGCAGCTTCCTCGCCTTGTTCTGCTCGTGGCAGTTGATAGTTACGGAGGTTGTGAATCTCCACCTTACATTCCCCCAGAGTTGCCAAAGGAGACTGAAGAACTGTAGGATTGTGGGATGCTCTGACAAGTGTGATCAGGCAAATCCGACAACGAAGGCAAATTAGATGAAGGTAGGCCCTCGTTGTAGGCTTCCAACATGTCAAACCCGTTGAACATCGTTTGCCGCGGATGAAATTGACAGCGATTGTGTCTCTGACTGTGACTACTCGACCTTTCCAGTCCGCCTCCTCACCAAAAACCTTGATATCCTCTGTGCCACGTTGGCATACGTGTCCAACGTAGCTTGTTGGGCAACTAAAAGATCAAATGAGATCAATGTGAATCAAACACGGTATTGCAAGCCCTTTTCAACCAGTCTCACCTTTGGATCCTTAGACTATTATATGGCACTTCCACGGACCTACATAGGTTAGAAAATGTTAGAAATATGAATGTCTTTTGGACTCTGACTCCCAGCCGTCCCCCTTGGCGAGCCACCAATGATGTGAGAATGGGCACCAATTGAGCAAGACCCATGTCGCCGGACTTGGTGATGCTGTTCCTTGACATGTCAAGGCTTGTCAAATACATTCATATTCTGTATCTAATTATATATTATATATATATGTGTGTGTGTGTAACCGCTATATACACACAGAGAGACACTCTACTATGACTAATCTTGAATCTTGGCCAAACTGTCTTGGAACAAGACAACTCTCTAATGTTCAATTCAAGCTTCACAAGCTTGAGCACAGTGTCAACAGGTATCCTTCTGCCTTGACCATTTTGGACTGCCTTGACAACTGTTTCGCTCCATTTGATGGTGTGCTCTTTTGGCGGCTGCAAAGGCAGCCGCTTGTGTGCCATCTGTTGAAAGGCTTCATCAAAACGGAAGAGATCCAACGAAATGAACAGCGGCCAGCCAGAGACCAGGATCTCTTCCAATGTCACCGGGCTGCTAAAGAGCGTCAGCAACAAGCTCTCAGCTCTGTCGTAGTCCTCGTCTTTCTGCTCCTGTGTGCGGTACTGTCTGTAGTGGCCAACGTGAATGAGCGACAGCATACTGGACAGCACACCACCAATTAAACACTCTTTCGGAGAAGCCTGGTCCAGTGGCGTCTCCCTGAGTTCGGTGAAGACACGGAAAAGTGATAAGGTCTGGCGCAAGCGCTGCCAGTAAAGACCCTTGTCATTGCAAGAGAAGGATCGAGGTGCCCACTCAGTCTTTGCCACGCAGCAAGACTCATATGTCCGTGAGCCGTCCCAACATGTCCCTGGAGGAGCGCCATTCCAATGGACACAGCATGTCTCAAAGGTCTGATTGCCGGACCAGCATCCGGAAGAGTCTGGATGAGCAGCTCCCCACCGTAAAGCGTGATCATAAGTTGATTGTGAGAAATGACTGTTGTGCGTAAATCCCAACGCTTGACCAGCTATCGTTGCAATACTCAAGTACCAAGAGTGTGAACAAAAGAGCTCCATAAAACGCTGCAGTCGCACCGAAAGTCAAAGCAACTGCCCATGGGCGCCCATGGGTCTATGACACTCAACGACACTCTACGTGCATGGATGTTTTAGCTCGAGAATCCAAAGCTGGGAGGGCCAAGGCCGGCATGAAAATATATTCTCTGGTCAAACCAGTAGACACACCTGGCAACATTGCTTGGATTATCCTCCTAGCAAATTGAAACATACTCTGGTGGCGGCATTGCTGTTGTGAGTTTGAAGAATGTATGCAAACGGTGCGTCTTAATTAGTGCTATGCTAAAGTGCTAAAGTGTGGGTGCAGTGCTTGTCCCTCTGTGGTCTGTGTTTGCCTTGAATCAATTCCAGCAAGAAGTGAAGAGTGGCTCCGTTGCTTGAGCACTCCGGAGCTCAGAAATTTGAAAGCTTGTTACCACTTGCTGGACTCTTTTCTGGGGCTGCCGGCTCTTAAGTGCAGAAGCCGCTGGAGAAGGTCACTGCCACCGGGGGGGTTAGCCTGGACAAAGCTCAAACACGACTGCCATGCGTTTGGGAAATGGCCACCCAAACGCATAGCAAATCGATTTGGCCTCCAAGTGTTGTGCTGCGCACCTCGGCGGCGTAGTTCAAATGACTCAAAAATGGAGCTTGTTAGTGTATATGCAAAGTTGGCAGGGGAAAATACCTACATGATCAAGACGATGCAGCCAAAGGGCATAATGGCATGCTGCTGTTGCGAACGCAGAAGCGGACCCCAGCGGTTGATCCGATCTTTCCTGCAGCGAGTTGTTCTGCACTGTTTTTTTTTGATGTTCTGATTCTTCTCGAAGAGTTCCACAACCCGGGGTCAAGGGCACAAACATCTAATAATTCCAATATATTATAAGACTTATGATAATATATGTGTTGCATTTCTTTCAGATCAACATAGATCAACTGTAGCTACCAGTGCAGTTCTTGCAAACCCCAGGGAGCCATGATAAGTGTGCCAAATCAACAAACTAGTACAAAAGGCACTTATGCTGGTCATGCTTGCATTTAGTTGATGCTCAGTCGTCGTTGTCACATTTCATCCGCACGTTGCTGGGGCGACCTTCTTTGTCCACACTGTCATCTCCTCGGCAAGTTTGGCCCCCACTGGATTCGATCGGATTCCGCAAGCTCGGTGTTTTGGCACAGGGAGATACAGGCCTGGAAGTCACAACTCACCACAGCACTAGTCACAAAGGAACATTGTAATTAATTATTAATTAGATGTAATTAGCAAGAACATGCAAGAACTAAAGTCGAACCATGGAAGCAGCAACACGATCTTGCCTTCGGCTGGTACAGCTGGCGAGGCCCGCTCATGATGTTCTGCCACAAGCAAGTCATGGCAGATTGCCAACAACGTGAGCATGTCTTAAGATATCTTAAGTATGTCTCCAAGTGTCTGTGTCCAGAGACTACAAGTCTTTGACGCTTTCAGCTAACACTCCAGAGTTGTTTGCCTGCATCAGCGCCTCTGAGCCATTTGAGAAAGCACCACCATAGCCTGTCGTGTGAGGGTGTCTCCAAGAACTTTCTAAAAGAGAGGGATAGAGACCCTCCATGACAATACTGCGGACCGCGCAGCGATGCGCTGCCTCGCACGCTGCATGGGTCGACCCACCTGACCTAGCTGCGCCACGGAGTCATTCAGACCGGCACTCTCCAGGTTCACCTCAAATCAGGTCACATCAAAAAGCAACGCGGAACCACTTGGAGCACCTCGGTGGTTGAGGCATGTTGAGGCTACAGCCCAGGTCTGGTACAACATGCGATTGCAGTGGTCTCCAAGGTGTTTCAGAGGAATGCGAACCTGTCATTGGCAGGTCAAAGCTTGGAACTGATTCACCAAGCTGTTATCCGAATCTAGTATGAAGTCAACCAGCCCTGTTGCTTGGTCTCTCTATTTGAAGTCGTCTCATCCCGCCTCACCCAAAGCCCGTTTCTCTGCATGTTTTGACAGCGGCGGGGTGTCCAGCATGGCCCAAACCTTGCTAATCTTCACGCAGAAAAAGCGGACCATATCACAAAATAAGAATTCCCCTGTTGTGTTCTCTGCCTTGATCACTAACACAGCATCAAGCTGTAGTGACCTGAGTAGCATGCGTGTTTGCAGTGCTTTCAATGTTGATTTGCATCTACTCCTTCATGCGAGCATACAAGAATTATATGGTCCAGATAGTCAGGCAATTCATTGTCCAATGCCGTCCATATGTCCTTTGCCTTCACCCCTCTCAGATCCAGGCTTGGCTATGCCCACAGACTTCAAAGCTATGAACTCTTCCCCAGCTACCCGATGCTCTGCGTCTGCCAACCTAGCACCAGCATGCACCAGCTTTTACCCACAAATGTTGATTGTTGTAAATTACGCAAGGCTTCCAAATTCCAGCTCCAACATGTTACTTCGGTGCCATTTTCATGAAGGCCAAAGGCTCATCAATAACTGGCTAACTGGCCACGTCTGGGTCATTCTCCGGGTGTCTGACGTCATGCAAATCGTCTCTCCTGGCTGCATGTTCACTGAACGCACCTGGCGACATCGCACGATGTTAGATCGGCAAGAAGGGATTAGGAAAGTATGAAATACTTTGAAAAACTTGCAAAAACCTGGTGAAAGCAAACAAATGCAAAATGTCTCTACTGGTTTCTATGTTGTTTGGGTAGGGCCTCATGACATATGACTGCAATGTCGAACTTGCCGACACCACCGTCGAAAATGGAGCAGGCTTCCTTGGTCGGCTGCAAGTGGCCCCATCTCAACAAGCTGGAGGATGCAACCAGATGGACTGAATAGCTGGACGCCCACTTCCGTCAACTACACCAAACATATCCAAACATCCTCAACTGGTGCAGCGTAGTCTCCCTCCCCAGGTTGAAGCTTCTCAACAGTGCATCCACCATGGCATTGAGAAAGTTTTTGCAAGCGTCTTAGTGCTGTTGCCTTCGCAAAGCCTATATATATATATACACATTCATCTAGAATCTACAGTCTACAGGGCCTACTTACCTTGGAACATCTACAACGGCCCAGAGCCAAAACCGTTGGCTAAAAGGTTAGATCCGAATGTAAAGTCCCTTCAAGTTATTGATGGTTCTTGTATGTGGCAAGTTGTCGCAGGCATTTCCTTGAAATGCAAAGTTTTGCAAATTGAATGCATGCTCATCCCAACATGTGAGACAAACTAACATGGATGGATATTCATATTGCCATTTGCCCCTTCAGCTTTGAGCCAAATGGATCCAAAGATTTCAATCTCACGGACCATCACAGAAGTAGAGTCGAATGATCTTGAAAGCCACCGCTGCTTCTGGACCACCGGCAAATCTGAAACGTAGCAAGAAGCTACTAGTAGCAAGGGCATCGCTACTACTAGCAAGGACCCTCCTAGTATATCATCACGAATCACGCATGAAACGTCGGAAGGAATAAGAAACTGCGACTGTGTGGAGTCTAAACGCCTGCACCCTGATCAGCTGCTTGTAGTGGTCCGCAACATCTTCGCTGAGTCCACTGCCACCTACACCTCAAGGTTTCATGGCTCGTGACAACTCCCGATGAAATTGTCAGCTGCGTGCAAATCAGATTATTCATGGCATCACCCTAAACCCGAAACTGCTGAAATACTGGAATACGTGTGAATACGTAAGTAAAAGCACTATAAAATTGCATAAAATGGTAAATGCACTGGAATAGCTTAATGATGAAATGTGACCCAACCCAAAATCTCCCAACTAACATTTAGAATTTAGAATACGTGTGAAGTGAACCTCCTCCGATTGCGTCAGGGTGTGCAAGTTGCATTCGGCTTGCAATCTCTGAAACCGCCGATCGTCCGAAATGGCTACCTTCCGGACTTTCAAGAATCGTGTGCTACGCAAAAGTGGGCGAGTCTAAAATATCAATAATTTATTCCATAAATCCTTGCAATTCAAGGACGCTACTAGGGGCTCCTGGCATCGCTACTAGGAGCACGGACGCTACTAGGGGCTCCTGGCCATACTATATACTAGGACCAGGAACAAGAGGCTATTAGAAACAAGTTCGCTTGACAGGCCATGTCATGCCAGCCTTGTGATACGTACAGCTGCACCATGCGCCGTTGAACAGCCTGGGATTGCAATTATGCACACAACTGTACAAAACATATTCTTTGACTTCACAAATCTTTCCCATGAACCAAGCGGTTTACACCAGGCTAAGCTTGACAATAACGGTTCGTTGAACATCGTCGTAGGTTTCCAGGCGCGTTGATGCTCTCGAACGAATCCGCGGTAGTGACCGTTGAACCAGCCTCTCGGCTTGTACAAGGATCTATTTTGTCAGTGAATGCTCGCACACAAACACCGAAGTTGATATGCATTATTCAATATACAGCCCCGTGTACAGCCCAAGTCACTAGTAGTAAGATCTATATTAAACACATAGCAAGCCTGTTCGTAATCGAATATCATCTCATCTTTCTTGTTCCGACCCTTTTTTCGACGGAACTCCTGAGGCTTCCGACGGAACTCCCCCAAGGACCGGGCAGGGCGCCTGAATGCTCCCAGATTCTCGCGAGACATACGGGTGTCATGTAAGAATGGACACTGTCTGCATGGTCCCTCGATGTTGTGTGTGTGTGTGTCTCAGTTTATGTACGGATAACATGTTTTCCCTCAGTGATGTGCCTAACCTGCAACATTAAGACTTATATAGGATTGTCTATACTACACACCGGGGTTCCCGGCTGCAAAGCTTCTGAACGCCAAAGGCATTCGACCTTATGTAGCGGGCAACCACAGCTTTGGCTTTGGCCTTTCTGTAGAATCGGGAGCTTGCTTAACTTTGACTAAACGCGTCACCACAGGCCACAGGCTTTCAAAAATGATCAAGAATCATCAAAAACGAAAGGAACAGGGCATCATCTTCGAAAAGGTGCCTTGTGCTGGAAGGTCTCAATTCCGATGCCTGAAGTTTCAAGCCAAGAATATCGAATCATTTGTACACACAAATGCATTCATTGAGAACGTGATTGTACATGTTACGATAATCTGTTGCTGTCCTTTCACACGGTACTCAGCATTCCTTAGATCCAGGCGCTGTGATATTAAGCTCATGGAATCCACTGCCTGAGCCAGTTTCCACCGATCCCCATCTCGAGAATGGCCACAAGACTTGACGTAGCCGATGCTTAGCGCAAAGTCTCGATTGTTCTTGGTTTGGTTCAATTGACGACAGCCGAGATGGATTTGGGAGTCGGAGTCTGTTGATTAGAACCACTGGATAAGTGTTGCAATACCTATGAATGGCTCTTCACGAGAAGATACGAGAAGGGACTCTTAAGTACCCTGGAATTGAACAAAATCAAGAGAATCCAACCCATATCAGGCCTCGCTCTCTGACATGATGCATGCGCCCATGATGAGGCAAGCAAGGCCTGCGCTATGACCACTATGACCAGGGAAGCAAGCTGCATGCGGCATCTTACGCTTGAGCTCTGCAATCTGCACCTTGGATCTGGACTCCATAGAAAGCACCGGCACCACCTTGTTTGTTCAGCTGGGCAAAGCTTCTCACGGTGCTCAGAGTATCAAAGAGTCATAGTATAAGTAGAAACAAGAAGCTACTAGTAACAAGTGCCACGCTAGTAGTAACAGGTGCCTTACTAGTAGTAACACTGAAGGTTCATCAAAGGCACTGAAGGCTGTGAGGTCCATGGCCTCAGGGAGGTTGGTGAGATGGTCGAAGAAACAAAAAAAGGCAGGAGAGACTTGGAGAGACCTGCATGCTGGAAAAGGCATACTCGCAAATACCCATATACTCCTCTTTCGCAGTTGTGCACAGAAATTATGGTTTTGAGTTCTTGTATCTTCTTCTTGGCTGGGTCTGCCACCACAGGTATCATCACAGGAGATGTGGCGAAGCTTGAGAGCACTGGTGGACAGTTGGCCTGAAGACTACAATGCCCTCGCTGCCATGCACCATCAAGTGAAGTCAATAATCTGACTGGGATCTGAGCCAACCAATAGAGCAAAAGCTTCAAAAAACCCACGAGACAGGCCTCGGGCATTGATCGTTCCAACCGTTTGGGTAAAGCCGCTTCCAAAACTATTCCAAAACCGTGTGATGCAAAGGGGCCAATTCATTCGGCCGCCCATCTGAATCTGCCTCATCGTGGTTAAATGAACACATCTGAAACAGAAACTTGCTTGAACACAAGAACCTGTTGGCGCAGGAAAAGTGCCAAGGTGTTGACAAATTCTGAGTCAGAGGACTGTTGAAGAAAGAGAAGCAGAATATATAATTCAAGGAGACTGTATAAAAGAACCCATGGCTATCTGGCTAGCCTCATTTGCGTGAGCTCCCACGGTCCTGAATTGTGGACAGGTTTTGAAAATCCAAGACCGCAAGAAAATAGCAACTGATTATTATACGTGTTAAATGAAACATTGACAATTGATCTTAATATACTGTATCATCCATACTATTTAGCAACTGGATAGGATAAAACCGTGGTGATGCAATGAAAGTTGCAGCAATGTTGCATACATTACGCGATCTCTCAGGTCGGCCTTGCCATGGCAGAGAATGCTCGAAACCTGGGTCAGTACGGTCAGCGTGTTGCAGTTGTAGTCGGCTGTAGTCGGTTGTAGTCGGCTGCTCGGCTGTAGTCGGCTGTATGAAAACATTGTGCCCTATGGCACAATGTATTCTATATATATATATCAACACTTCTTGCCGTTAGAAACACCTCTTTCACACTCATTGAGCTTCTGACAGCAGCTCCTGGAAAGTCTCGGCTGGTCCGGCATCACTAGGAATTGACACCGGCATTGCCACACAGGCGGTTTGAACCTCGTGGACGGCTTCAAGGACTTCAGCTGTCAAGCAGGTACCAACAAGGGTGGTCAATTGAGTCGAACAAGAGTGCTCGGCTGGGTCACAATAGTCGCACACGAGACAGCTTGAGAACACAAGCAAGAGATAGAGAGAGAGAGAGAGTTCGGCATGGCTCGCCAATCTTCCTACAGCTTTCTTATGGGGACCTTGTGTAAACTTCAATGATCTGACCTGGGCATGACCATTACCTGAAACTGTCAAACATCGGTGCGTCATGACCATTCACCTCTGAGTTTCTTTGTCTGAGGTCAGCAACATTGGCATTGCCCACAAGGGTGGCCAGCAGCAGTTGCAGCCTGTGCAAGAGGGCTAGGCTCCGAGTCTCTTTCCAGTTGGAGTTCCGTCTTGGTAGGCTGGTTGGGGTACAAACCAAAATCTCCTTGGTGCTGGCATGGACTAGTATGGACTGCTGCATGGCATCGCTTCCGATGAACTCTGGGTTCTTGGCGCAAACCACAATGAATCGGAGGAAGCACCTCCTCAGATTGAAGACTCCAATCATTTACACCTCTAGATAGGTTTCGTCAGTGTCTATCTCCAGCCTCCACGTGCTGCAGCCTGGAGAGGTTGAGACCCTCTAAGTTCAATCAAGTACTTGGCGCACATTGATAGTGCCAAAATATGCCAAGCAATTCTACGGAAATTACTCCGTGCTGCTGTTGAGTCGTTGTGAACAAGCAAAAACCCTTTTACTTCAGTACAGCAACGTTACACTATACACACCTCATCTCAAGTGATTTCCAAGATGTGCTGCTCCGTCTTTGCCCAGGAGGGCTGCCGTGAGACGCAATGATGCACTATCTAGAAATCCAATTGTCTTATACTATCTTGGCATCTCTTATCTATCTTGGTGTTGAGCATGATTGTTTAACTTCAACTCAGCTTGTAGGTTGAAGGCCATCGCTATTAGGTTGAAGGCCATCGCTATGAGGTTGGAGGCCATCGCTCTTAGGTTGGAGGCCATCGCTCTTAGGTTGGAGGCCATTGCTCTTAGGTTGAAGGCCATCGCTATTAGGTTGAAGGCCATCGCTATTAGGTTGGAGGCCATCGCTATTAGGTTGAAGGCCATCGCTATTAGGTTGGAAGCCATCGCTATTAGGTTGGAGGACCATCGCTATTAGGTTGAAGGCCATCGCTAATTATTAGGTTGGAGGCCATCGCTCTTAGGTTGGAGGCCATCGCTCTTGGGTTGGAGGCCATCGCTCTTAGGTTGGAGGCCATCGCTCTTGGGTTGGAGGCCATTGCTCTTGGGTTGGAGGCCATTGCTATTGGAGTCTGAGTCATATTTCCCCAGCCAATGTTCGCCTCCAGAAGCTCCACCACCAAACGCCCTGCAGGTGTCGCCTGCAAAGCTTTTGAGATGCTGCTTGCAGATGTGAAAACCCAGAACTGAACTCTGCGAAGGGTTGTGTTGTACATCGACATCAAAAGCGATGTTTCGATCCGGTGAACATCTTGACGTCACTCAACGATCTTTGCGATCCACCGTCCTGTCCTCATTGGGCTCCTCCTGAAGTTCAGGACCGAGAGAAGAGCAAAGGAAGGACCTCTGATCGTCGGAAGTTGGACAAGGAATAAATTGCAAAAAAAGCATGTCCATAGTCCATGACTTGAAGCACATGAAATCTAC